GAAAGATTGTTCGATGTAAAACATGTGCTGAACTTTGTCCCCCAACAAATTACATAACAAAAGGCAGAAATCCCTTAATAAGTATAAAAGAAGGAATTAAAAAAATTTCAGGAAATGGGGAATAAAGGTTTAGATAGATTATGCTCATCTAGTCCAGGCACCTCCTCACATATTTAATACGAACTTTTATTTTAGTAATAAAAAATATAGACTGGTAAGGGCTAACAGTGTGCCTTTAGTGTAGATGCCAAAGCCATTAAAGGTAGTTCAAGCAAAAAGGCAATTGCACCCACTTAGATGCTTGCAAATCATTGAAGGAGTTAAAGGAGTGTGGGGTGGTGAGTGTAGCATTGGAACTGTTAAGTTCAGGACTTTGATCCTCTGATAAAAAAGCCAGTGTAGCCACTGCTATCTCAACAGCCACTTGACACATTGAAAGTTGTGACTAGAAATTTTCTCATACTTGCTATTTTCAAACAAGAGAAATAGGAACCAAAGATTGAAATAAATTCAGCTACATTTTTATTTGCTTCCCATAAGTATAATCAATATTCATCAATATTTCCCCTTCCAACTCCGCATATGTGGGAGAATATATTGACAATGGGGAATGGGGAATGCAAGGAACTCAAATGGTGCATCATCAAATAATGCTAATTAAGCAATCATCTTACTTACACACACACACACACACACACACACACACACACACACACCTACCTCAAAGGATATTGGCTTTATTTACTTTATAGTACCTGAAATTTCTATCTAGAAATATTTGCCATACCACTATGGAGGATTTTTAGACGGATCTTGCATTCTCTTTCAAATTTAAGCACTTTAAAATTAGACAAATTTTAAAATCCCACCAAAGCTGTCCTAGGCCTTAAGATTTCCAGTAAAATCGAAAGCATGGAATTCAACATAAATACTTAGTGCTGTATTACCACGTTGGAAGAATTTTGCTAAATAAAGTATGGTGCAAAGTTGACTCAGTCAGGACAAAGCACAAGCAACTTGTTGTACAGAAAAAATTCTGTAGTTACTCTTTTTTAAATTGAAGAATAATTTTCTTTTGTTACAGCAGACACTAAGATTTTGCAAAAGATGCATCAAATTTCTCAATCTGAGTCAACCTTATGGTTGTTAAAAGGATTGTTAAAAATGCATACTTTCTGGATTACTCGTTATTTTAAAATACTGAATTCTGCCCCATTGTCGGACCGTCTGTTCCAACTTTACTAGTAGGTTAAATAAATGGTCACACTACTCTTAACCCACAACTCCCTTCTCCCCACACCGTGGAACTTCAACAAACAGAGACCTATGCCTCTCCTCCTAAAGTGGGCATAAGTGAGAGACGCCGAAACCTAGTGTGCTTCACTTGCAAAGTTGCCTAATCCGTTTCCCAGGTCACACGTCACTCAAATGCAGGGCTGCATTACGCTGCCTCTTCAAGGTCCCTTGCATTTGCACATTTCTGCGATTAAAAAGAGTCTCTTCTTGGGAGTGAATTCACGTAAAGCCCCTATATGACATTAGCTAGCTGAAGGCCAGGCCAACTGCAGGGTTAGAGTGAATCTGGTTTTTGTTTGAAAAATCTCCTTAGAGAGAGCATCCCACACCCGCATCCGAGTGGGCCCGGCACCACGTGTCTGCACCAACAGCCGGATTGGCCGAGCGCGTTTTATCGCTGCAGTCTAGACATGCCAGGTCCCGCCCAGCTGCCAGAAGAGCTGGGAAGCGGAGAGAGGAGGCCAGAGAAAGATCGCGGAGGGGAGGGGGGCGGGAGGGG